AGCTGGCACATAGTGTATATACTACTAGTATCTTCCTTCCACTTATAAACAACACAATTCCACAGTAAAAAGCAAGGGATGGGAAAAACCCTCTTAAGTACAAGTTGTATATTCTTGCATCTTGGGAATTCAGCCTATCTAAATATTTGTGTTCATTCAATTCCATTTCTTTGGATCTATCTCACTCTTTTGAGTTTTTTCACATTGTTAAAAAAAAACAAAATTCAACCGAGTAAAGTGGAAGATCTAATTGGCTCTATCAAGCCATTCATGAATCAAGCAGCACCCCAGCTATAGCACCTAGAAGCGCTCTCTGAGGGCTGAACCAAATGGGAGTTTTTATAGGGGAAAGGGTGGGGCAAGGGGATATATTAACAGAAGAAAAGAAAGGATTATCTTGGGCCTGGGCATCTTTGCTTTGGAAGAAGGGAACCGAAAGGGTTTTTATTATACAGATTTCCTCTTCTTCCTATGGTGTGTGTGTGTGTGTGTGTGTGTGTTGGGAGAAGGGGGTGATGAAGACAACCCACGTGAGAGATCACCTTACTCTTGCTTAACCAGGAAATTCCAGACTAGTTGACTAAGATGATGTTTCTGGGAGACGCTGAAACTAAGATTAGATCAGATATTAAATCTAGGTTTGGGATCAGGGGTTTTTAGCATAAGTGATACCATTGGGGGACTGTCATTTGCACCAGAGGAAAACACCTTCATAACTGTTCCCTGTCGCACCTTGACCAGGGGAGCCGCACTGAACGTTTCTGAGTGCTGCCATACTTAGCTAATTCCTGATGGGAAGGGAAGCAAAGGGGGAAACTGTTAGGTGGCCGAAGGAGGAACGCACGAGGCCAGAGTGGTGGGGGATTACCAATTCGATCATCCACACACCAGGTGGCTGAGCCTGGATGGCTCCGGCCACCAGTGACGGGTCAGCGGCTTTTAAAGGACTTTCGGCGGGCTTTTTTCTGGGCAGAGAATTCTTATGCAGACCCTGAGGGGAGATCATGGAATGTGGTCACCACAAGTGAAATGTGGTCTCAGCAAAGGGAATGTCCATAGCAAATGACCTGTAAAGCCAGTTCCTGGGGGGAGGGGCCTCAATTCAACTGCTTGATCAAACCTAACAGAGACATGGCTGAGCTTGGTCAGCTAGGAAGCAGAGGCCTGTTGGCTTCCCCAGGAAGCGACAGCTTCACACTCCCTCCAGGGACCCACCAGTCCATTCCTCCACAGATCCCTGGGGGAAGGGACAGGAAGAGGGGGAAGCAAACACCTGCGCAACCAAGTCCAAATGGCACAGAAGGAGGTGCCTGACCCTAGAAGCCTGTCCATCTAACCTGGGCACAAGATGACTGGCGAGGGGGTGGACCCCAATGCAAGCCCAGCAAAGTTTGGGAAGTTATTATCTATTTTATTAGATCCCTGTCACTTCATGACCTCCCATCACCCTGCACCCAGAATGTGCTCACAAACTCCCGTCCAAGCGGAGTGTCCAGTTTGGGTTCAAGTTTCAGCCTGGATGTTTTCTTGGGCAAGTTTCATAATGTTTCCTAATCTATTTCCTCAACTCTAAGTGGAAAAAATCAGAGTATTGAGGGGAAGCAGAGTTTGTCATCCCAGAATATGACTTAAAATATGATTATTTTAAGCTGGTTACACACACACACACACACACACACACACACACACGACTCAGAAAAAACCTCTGACCTTCTCCCTAAACGCCTATGAGAATTTAACTAGACCTCCTGCTCCAGAAGGGAGATCGCATCATAGATAACTATCATGTAATACAAATGAGTGTGAGATACACAGGGGTTTGATCAGAGTCCTCTCTGGGCCACAGTGTTCAAGATGGTTCAGCAAACTTGCATTTACCAAACATTTGCTTTTCCTGCTACATGTGAATTGCCTTTCTACCCTTTGAAATCCCAAACCACAACCCCACCTTTACCCCCACCCCCTTGTCCTTGGCTCAAGATGGCATATAAGCTTCAACTTATGTCAGACCAGTGCTGGGGCCTCATATTCTTATGGAACCCCTGTATGTACATCTAGATATATAAAAGGCTAATATGAAAATTGTCCACTTGGGAGTTCGACGGGGAGAGCAGGAGTTCGATCGCTCGCTATGATGTGTACTGACCACCAGGGGGTGGCGTGGAACATGGTGGGTGACCAGCGGGGCAGTGGGGTGCTGAGGGAGGGAGGGAAGGAGGAAGCAGGGAGGCAGGGAAGCCAGGCCTAGGGACCCTACCCTGCATGATTTTTGTGCACCAAGCCTCTAGTATAGAATAAATTTGGTCATGTTCTCCTGTTAATCTGTCTCATAATTAACTAGATTGTTACTCCAGCCAGAAGAAGTGAAAAAAGTAGGAGGAGAATCTACTTTTCCTCCCCCACAATATCTACCCCATCAAGTCGTTGCATTTTCAGAGTTAATGCTTGAAAAGTATTCTGCTGAAAAATAAGCACTGATAGATTTTAACGTGTTATCAAAAATGCTTTGGCAGAGATGGCTAGATGCCGGCCTATGGTGAGCTGGTGGGCCCAGTGAGCTGAGCTTCCCCGCACTCATGCCTTTGTGTAATCCCTGCCCACTTGGACTCTGGACTTGGCCATGTGATTAGCTTTGATAGTGGGAGCATGGCCTGCATGAGGTAAGTGGAGGCTTGATGAGCACGTGCACACTGGGGCTCCTTCTCTTGAAATTCTCCTGGGAAGCCAGCCACCAGTCCGCGGGGAAGCTCAGGCAGCCAGGTGAAGGAGAACGGAGGTCCCAGCCAACAGTCTCCGGCTGAGCTCCCGACAGGGGCCAACACCACTCCTACTGGCTCTAGCAGCGAGGCCATTTCAGATCATTTAGCCATTTCAGTGCCTCAGCACACACCACATGAAGCAGAATCTTGTCAACCCACAGAATCATGAGAAATAACATATTCTATTATTATAAGATAAACTAAAGGCCTGGTGCACAGAATTCGTGCACGGATAGGGTCTCTAGGCCTGGCCGGCGATCAGAACTGATCAGGGCCTTCCGGCTGCTGGCCGGGGCCTTCCTTCATTCCACGCCGCCCCTGGTGGTCAGCACACATCATAGCAAGCAATCGAACTCCTGGTCTCCCAATCAAACTCCCGAGGGGACATTCTGCATATTAGCCTTTTATATATATAGATAATAAATTCTATTGTTTTAAGTCACTAAGTTGTGAGACTGTTTTACAGCAATAGATAAAACTAGTATCAATTCTTCCTTTTTCCCCATTAGCAAAATCCCAATTTTATTTGGTGTGCAATGTACCCAACTAAAAATCTATACTTCCTTCCCTTCCTTTCAGCTGGAAGTGACCATGTGACACAGTTTGGGCCAATAAAATTGAGAGATTAGGTGGGGCTTTCAGAAATCCCCCTAAAAGGGCAGATAGCACAGGCCTAGCCACTGGTCCCTTCTTCCTGCCTGGAACACAGATGTGATGCTGTAGGTGAGCAAGCGTCTTCTCCCAATGAGGGAAAATTCTAGAGAATCACAAAGACCTCAGACCTGACATCCTTAAGCCACTGATCCAAAGCAAGCAACTTTTCAAAATCTGAAGAAAACAAGCCTCTTTTTGTTACAGCCATTATGAACAGGCATTGTTATCACTGTCACAGGCAGCTGATGCCAACACCCATGAAGCTTCAATTGCAACATTCTTTACTGGCACGGGAGCTGCCCACTGTCGTCATTCTAACCCAGGCTGCACATGTGAATAGGAATCTCTGCGGGCGGGGAGGAATTTACTTATATTTAGGTTCCCACAGCACACAGCTCCATAAGATTTCTGCAGAAAAGTATGCCTTCCATTTTCAAGAGCAAAGCACGCCTTGCAATATGGCTTTGCAAAGCTGCAGAACAGTGCTAAGGAGCTAGAAAGCAACAGGGGGGTCATTTGCTGTGTCCTTTTGGGGACTCTTGGTCCATGTGTGTCTATAGGCCGTCTCCCCAAATAGTTTGGAAGCTCCTTGCAGGTTGAGAACGTCTCATTTCTTATGTCTATCTGTGTTGAGTGCCGTACCTTATATATTAGTTGGTAAGTGTCCATATAAGACTTAGCAAATAGTATCCTAGAAATGTTTAAACTCTAGTTTATGATATTTTAAACCTATTTTTATTGATTTTTAGAGAGAAAGAGAGAGAGGGAAACATTGATATGAGAGCAAAACATCGACTGGTTGCCTTTGCCCACCCCTTACTGGGGATTGAGCAACCTGGGCATCGAACTGGCTGGGAATCAAACGGGCAACCTTTAGGTGCACTGGATGATGCCCAACCAACTAAGCCAGGGCACTTATGACATTTTTAATAACAGTTGAATTGATTTCACTATACAGCACTATTTCTCCCCAGATTCTATGAATCTTTTATGCTTCTCCATATTAGTAATAATCACCAATATTATGTATTTACCTCTTACTTTGTGCCAGGCACTATTATTGTACATGCTTCATATGTATTAATTATTTAATCTCCAGAATAACCCAAGAGCCAGGTACTAATATTTGTCCTATTTTGCAGATGAAGAAATGGAGGCCAAGAGAAATTACCCGGAATTGCAGTAAGTGGAGAAATCAAACATACCACCTGACAAAGTCTTTTCTTCTGTCTTTCTTTCATTTCCCCCTTCTTTCTTTCATTTCTCATGTTTATTCCACGTTCAATAAGGAAGCGAAAATAAGAGAGAGTCCATCATGATGGCTGCCCAGTAGCTGACACCTGCTTTGGGCTGGAGAAGCGCCCCCTTTAGGCCACGCTGGGAGGACTCCTGCCCAGATACCAGCTTTTCTGATCCTCCACAGAACTGGCCTTACACCTGCTATTCTAAACTTTCTCCAAAATGCCCGTCTAAACTTGGGTCACTTCCCACCCTCTGAACGGAGCACACAAGTAAGAACGCCCAGACCTGGAGCAGAAGGCCGTGTGGCCAGGGAGCGAGGATCAGCATGAGAAAGAACACACCGGATGTTCTCATCGTTTATATTTCTTAATATGAGTGTGCGATGTTGGATGTGAATGGAGAGTCCTCTTAAGGCACGCAGTTTAAATTGAAATGTTTTCAAAGACTTCCCAGAAGTCCACAAAGCAAGTATGAGACCCACTCAGACCTCCATCCCCCTCCCTTTGGCCCTGGCCCCTGGGTCTTTCGGTGGCAAGTCTCCCAGACCAACTCAGTGCCAACTGAGTCTTCTGGTTCCTCAAAGGGCCTCCCAACTCACTCCCCTGTTACATAATTCGACAGGACAAGTTCCCCTCTGGTTGGCCAAGAGTGACCTCGATATACTTCACACCAGAACCCCGCGCCCTCCCTTTTATCCGTCTATCACTGTGAAGCCAGTTCATCTTCTTGGCATCTGTGTTCTAAGGGTTCTAGGAATCATGAGAGGAAGTCACCTCGGCCTCTCTTCCTGCTTCTGCAGCCTCTGTGGCCTCCTGGTCCACGCAGCTCTGTGGAAGGACTGTTCCCGCAGGGACCTTTCTGGCTCCTCCAATTCTGTCCTCCTGTCTTCTGGCTTGCCACCGGGCAGTCAGCAACGTGCTCACACTCCTCATCTTCTTGTTCTGAAACTCAGGGAGTGGGAACGATCAATTACAGGACTGTCTGACAGCAAAGGCAGTGGAGGAATCACAACTTTACCTTAGAAGAACCTCCGTCCTGAATGTGAGAAACCTGCTTAAGGCGCATACTTGGAGAGCTGAGGAATTTGTGTTAAGGCAAAACAAACAGAGGACTTGTGGAATTTTGTTAAATATCTTCACAGTGCAGTCATATATCTTAAGCACTAACAGTCTGCTGTGGAAAGTGTCTCTTAAAAATGTGTTCACTCGCAGAGTTGAAAGACCAATTCTGAAAAGAACCAGCAATCTACTTCAGGTGGCCTACCGATGACTTTAAAGAGAGCGACAAAAATGGAAAAGCGACAATGAATGACAGAAGCTAAATGGCTACAAAACCTTTGAAACCCATATGCAAGAAGCCATAACAGATGCGAACTAACACATCCGCAACAGTCGCACACGGGCTTATTATGGGTGCACTGCTCGGGTAGGGGGAAAACACGACTGAAAATGTCTCACAGGCAGAAGTTGATCTCAGCCAAGAAGACAAAAGACTCAGAGCTCAGGTTAAACGCCCTGACAGAAAACAAGTGCACCAGCCTACACAAGCAGCAGCTCGCTTTAGAATCACTCTAGCAATAAACCATTCTGGAGCAATGACTTTCGCAAGGGCCTTTGGGACCAGCGCCCCACCCTCGTCACCTAACCTCGCTTTGCTAAATCCAGAAGCAGATGCTCCGGGCATGGCAGGGGCAGACAATAAAGCGTGGTCCCACGCCATCAAGATCTAGGGAGAGGGTATAACATGCCGATCCTGGCCCCCACACCAGGCCCCTTTAATCAGTATTCTAGGGGATGGGGCCAAGGCAAGTGGTGGTTTTAAAAAAACAAGCATGTATTTATTGGTTTTAGAGAGTAAGGGGGGTGCGGAGAGAGAGAGATAGAAACCTCAATGATGAGAGAGAGAGTCACCCCCTACTGGGGATCGAGCCTGCAAGCCTGGCATGTTCCCTGACCGGGAATTGAACCAGTGACCTCTTGGTTCATGGGTCAGTGCTCAACCACTGAGCTACACTGGCCGGGCCAAGTGGTGATTTTTAAAGGCAGGTGACTTTAATGGGTGGCCAAGAGCATGACCCACTGCAGAGGATGAAAGAAAAGCTGTGCCTGGCACACTCATGGATTTCCATGCCAAGTTATTGCTTCTGAGTGTGGGGCTTTGTGGAAGCCCCGTCTCTGAGCCTTTTGATACAACTAACTCCCTTCTGGATGTTCACGAGGCCCTCATCATGCCCTCCTGCCCCGACTCAATGGGAGAACATTTTCTGGAATTTCTGACATGCATAGCAGAACAACCAACCTGCCAGCACAGTGGCCATTCGGATGATCTGAGAACGTTCCTTTTGCAGATGGAGTGGCCACCACGATGGAGCTGTCCGTGTCTGTTGCCTGTCCCATGGTAACCACACCTGGGCTCTACTCCTCTCTGACCCAGTCCTCCGCCAGAGGTGGCGGGAGCACTGCGGTCAACATGAGAGTGTTTAGAAACAGGTGGCCCGAAGGCAGCACAGGGTGCTGGGTAAGAAGACCACTCTGGAGCTGGGCATCCCAAGCTCTGATTCTTGGCCTCACTTTTTCTGGTCCTATGATTTGGGCGATCTATTTGAAACTCGGTTTCAGTACCTGTAAAAACAAACTGCTGTGAGGAATAAGAGAGACTACATCTACTAAATCCTCAATCCTTATTAGCTCTTAAGGAGGCAGGACTGCAGACTGCCCTAGTTTGAATCCCAACGCTTCTGCGGCGGTTACTTTATTTCCCTGTGCCCAGTTCCCTCATGTGTGGAAAGGGGATAATAATATAGGGTTGAATAAGGATTAAACGACCTGCCATTAGGGTGGCCTGACATCTCAGTTTGTTCAGAACTGGTCTAGTTTCTGCCTCCTGTCTAGAATCTTGGCTGGGTTAGAATTTGCCTGCCCCGTTTCACCATCAAAAGTGTCAACGGTGCCCCAGATTGGATACTTAACTATATGGCCATGGCAGTTCATGTATAATCACTTAGCAAAGTGCCTGGTATGGAGTCGATGATGACTGTGTGTTAGATGCTAATGTTAGCCCCTAGAGCAGTGCTATCCAATAGGAATATAATGCAAGCCAGATAGACTTTTTAATTTTCTAGTTAACCATAATTTAAAAAGTGAAAAGAAACAGCTGAAATCAGTGTCAATAATATATTTAACCGAGTATGTTCAAAATATATTAACATTTTAGTATATAATCACTATAAACATTAGCGAGAGCCTGGCCGGCGTGGCTCAGTGGTTGAGCATCTACCTATGATCCAGGAGGTCTCAGATGGATTCCTGGTCAGGGCACATGCCTGGGTTATGGGCTCAATCTCCAGTGTGGGGTGTGCAGGAGGCAGGCGATCAAGGTCTCTCTCATCGTTGATGTTTCTATCTATCTCCCGCTCCCTTCCTCTCTGAAATCAATAAAAATATATTTTTAAAAAATTAGTGAAACATTTTTCTTTCTTCACCCTCCTAAGTCTTTGAAAACCGTGTGTATTTTTTCATTTATTGCACATCTCACTTTGGACTCGTGGCATTTCAAGTGCTCAGTGGCCTAGTAGACTCGTGACATTTCTGGTGCTGACACATGGCTGGTGGCGACCCCTGGACAGCACAGTTCTGCAGACTTCACATCCCCCTGTGGGATGATGGGCCAGTCTTAAGAAATTCTCCTCTGTAATGGCAAGGTTGAGATGCTTAGCTTCTCTCCCATACTCCTGCACGCAGGGCTCCGGTGCAGAGATTTGGATAGTATTGTTGCCAAGCATCTTAGTCTCTCCTCCTGAGCAGATGTCCAAGGTCACTGAGAAGGACAGTGTAGTAACCTACCCTTAAAAAAAAAATCTCTGCTGGCTTCCCAGCAAGTGGAAAACCATGGGCCATCAGGGTTTGCAGGCCACTTTATTGCTATGATCTTATTAAACTATGAAAAGCAAGGTTAAAGTTACCTTGTTAATTTCTCCCAGGTGACAGTTTCCGCCTATTTGAAACATTCCCAAGAAAATACAAAAAAGCGGTTTTTCTATCAATAGTTGGGCTTTATTTTTCTCTGTGGGTTATCTCCCTCCAACCTTCCGATTGCGTTTTTGTTCCATTCTCTGGCCTGGTCCAATGTTGCCACATTCCTCTCAATCACGCTGCTCCAAGTAGACCCAGAAGTACAGTCAGAACCTGAGCAAACACCCAATAGCGTGGAGCGTTACTTTTTGACCTTCGTGTGATACTATCTCTATTTCCTCCTTCCGGGACAGTTTCTTGTGACCCCAACAAAGTCTTAGCTTTGGTAACCCCGACTTAAGAAGTTCATCATCTGGAAGACTGATGAGAAATGGAGCGAGAAAGAAGGGATGTAATATTTAACTCTGAAAGTGAAAACTTGGCCCCACCAATGAATGAGTTTCATTGACAGATCCTCTAAGTCCTGAATGGCCACCCTCTTAGGAGTTTAGGATGTTACTGGAATGGCAAGACTGGCCTGCCAGGACAACTGGAGAGCAAGGCTGTGTTGTGGAATGTAGGAAACATTGCTTGTGAGGGCTCTTGAGGCTATCAGCATGGGCTTAGAAAGTTGGAGCGGGAACAGTTCCGAGGCCATGCAGTTTGATGTTCTCATTTACTGACGAGGAAAGTGGGACCAGGAAACATTCAAACACTTGGCGAAGTTCAAGTGGCAGGTTAGTAAAACTTGTTCTTATTGCTCCTACTACGACATATCACACCACAGTGACCTGGATTTAAGGGTAATTCCTCTATTGACAAAAAAAGTTTTTACCAACTTTATGCAGGTGAGGCGGTTATTTTATCTGTGTTTTCTTCTCTCAAACACTTTGACCTGGGCCTGACCTCCATCCAAGGGTGGTGCTCAATGCCTGCTAAATCCAATTAGCATTTCTAAAAGACCTGGGCAAAAACAAAGCAAATAACAACAACTCTGAGAAGACTGCTCAATTCCATACTCCACTACCAGTCCCCAGACAGGCGGCTGAACTTGAACTATGGTCTGAGTTTCAGGAGAGGGGGGATCTGGAAAAGGGTCTTGGCACATTGGACTAACTCTAAGAGTCCGTTCCTCCTCAGCAATCCCTCACACAGAGTTGCTGGTGTTAGAGGGTGGGATTCTAAACTGGGAAGGATACATACACAAACCACCTGGAGAGCCCAGGGCAGGTGGGCTCATAGGCAGGTGGCTGGGGCAGGCTCCCCCCCCCCCCCCAGTGTAAAAGAGAAAAAAAAAAAGAAAAAAAAGAAGAGACAGGCCTTCTATGGATAAAAGGCTGATGACCTAGCCCGTGGTCGGCAAACTGCGGCTCGAGAGCCACATATGGCTCTTTGGCCCCTTGAGTGTGGCTCTTCCTAAGCCTTAGGAGTACCCTAATTAAGTTAATAAGAATGTACCTACCTATATAGTTTAAGTTTAAAAAATTTGACTCTCAAAAGAAATTTCAATCGTTGTACTGTTGATATTTGGCTCTGTTGACTAATGAGTTTGCCGACCACTGACCTAGCCTTATACAATGATTGTTTAATGTTTGATGTTTTAACTCCTTCAACTACAGAACATGCTCATGTTAATTTTCCAAGGCAGCATGATACCTACCCCCTCCCACACTTCAAATCCCACCTCCCCGCTGCCCCTTTGAATGAAGACACTGACCTGCTAAAAGCGGAACCGAAACGTCACAAGTGGCAGTGCCATTCCCCCCAAATCCCCGACAACACACCATTAACAAGAACCACAACGGAAACCGTCCTGCAGAAATTGCTGGCATTAAACCAAAGAAAACCTTCGCCAGGTCGCATTTCCTTTCCAGGCGGTTTTATGTGAAAGGGATGAGACAGGAAGAGGGGTCTACATCTGGTTTTGAACTGGCCGTTCATCACTTCTCCAAGGAACCTCTGGGGTATCAGTTAGAAAGGGAAGACCCTGCAACTGGCTACATAGCTTTTGCTCCTATTTGCTAAGTCACTTGTTAAAGCTAAGACAGGCTGCTTCCTTGGCTGGTAGGGAGATGGGTGGAGGTGGAAGATGGGGTACAGATCAAGTCTGACCTGTCCATGTCAAGATCTGGCCAAGACGTTATCAACTGAACTCTGTTAGTGCGAATCTCACCTTTGATTTTTTATTTATTTTTATTTTTTTATAATGGCTCCCACCAAAAAGGACTCATTCCACTTCTTTAACCCAGAAAGCTTCCCGCCATCGCCAAAGACAGAGAGCTCACCCGGAGCCGGAGCCCGAGCCCCAGCGAGGAGGGGCTTTGGTGAATAAAGACTCAGCCACAGCTGGTTTACATGACTAGAATGAATGGAAAAGCCTCCCCAAGTTAAAGCGGGTGGAGGGCTTTGAAATCCTGGGAAATAAAGGAGTCCCCGCGACTCATAGGCCGGTCTCAGCCTGCTGGGGGAGGGGGGACGCTTAGGGGTCCTGGGGAGGACGCCGTCCCCCTTGGCTTCCCAGGCACTGCTTTCGGGGCGCCGCCCCCCCCCCACGCCCCGTTCGCGCCTCCCAGCTCAGGCGGGGGCTTCCCCCGACGCGTGAGCACAGCCACCCTGCGCGGGGCTGCTCTTCTGTGGTCACCTGGGGAGTGTAGCCAACTGTCCCTGCAACCAACTAGCTCAGCCAGAGACCGCGAGCACCTCCTCGTTTACTTTCTGTTCATCTGGGAAAACCTAACCCACGCGAGTCTGCTCAGAAGGAGCTTGGCTCACTGACTCCCCCCCCCCACGACCACGAGCGACTTTGGAAGTTGCCCTGAAATGAATGCTATTCGGGAACTCATCTGTCCTGAGCCCGGGGTCCCGGCGCCCGCCCTTTCCACTAACTTTAGGCGAAGATGCTGAGACGCGTCCGGGGGGAGGATCCCACGATCCACGACCCACGGCCGCCCGGAGCGCGCGCCCAGGGGATGGGGCGCCGCCCCGCGGGGAGCACCTTCCGCAGGTCGGGCCGGAGAGCGGGCCGGGTCACCTGATCGCGGAATTTCGGGCCGCGCGGGTGGAAGGGGAGGGGAATGGTTAGCACCTCCCTTCCCGCTCCCGGGATCCGGCCGGCGGGGCCGGCGCCGGGCAGCCACGTGGTGGTGCTGCCGCTGCCGCTGCCCCCGCCCCGCAGCCCAGCCCGGGAGCCGGCGCCCACTGACCCTGCGGCGGAGCGGGAGGAGGAGGAGGAGGAGGACCGGGAGGAGGAGGAGGGATCGAGGCGCAGGAAGCCAGGCAGGAAGCGAGCCCGGCGGCCGCGTTTTCCTGGGGAAGCGGCGGGCGGGGCGGAGCAGCCAGCGGCCC